CCAGTTCTAGTGCACTTTCACTGACACAAATATTCATTGTATTCTTCTGTCCTTGTCAAGTAAAAAAAAAGATCTAAAACAAAATAAAAACTCATTTGTGTACTTAACAAAGCACCCCTCTATGCTAAGGAGTGAAAATGAAAACAGGGTTTTAGGAACAGCAGATGCTACTACTATGTCCAAGGTTGGATCAGCAAGAGTGACAACGGGAAGCAATGAGAGCAATTAGAGGAAACAAGTCTGAGTCTTTAAAAGCTCATGCAGAACAACCACCCAGGCAGCCTGCCGGGGAAGGATGCTCTCCTTCCTTGTAGCAAGCTTAAGGTTTTCCTAAGCGCGGAGGCCAATAAGACCGAAGCGATGTGGCTAGCAAAGAGCTTGTGAAGCCAAAGAGCTAGGCAAGCTGCAGAACATCTCACGGGACAGCTAGCAGCCTCCTGGCCAGCTGAGGCTTGCCTTAATGCTGCACGAGGTTTGGAAGGCGAGAGACAGCACCTAGTTTGAGCACAGCATCTGAGAGGAAGGGTTGCAAAGGCAGCAGCCGTTCTGCAGAAGCCAAGGAAGCCCCATAGCACCTCAGGAAGGAACAGATGATGGCACACATTAAGCTGTGGTTAGTTTAAGCACATAATATCATATAATGATGGACATACTAAAAAGTGCAGGTATTGCACAGATTGGTCTCCCCAGGACATACTCCACCAGAAGCACAGATTAAGGTTTCTACTGACACAGGAAAATCAAATACTGAAGTGACCCCAGTAATGCAAAGACTTCCCCACTGGATATCCCACACTCCTGGTAATTAGCAGCTGAATTATTACCATCAACGTTTACCTGAACATGCTGACAATTTGATTGAAGTGACAGGGGACAAACTAAATTAGCTAATTTTTTCTTTAAACTTAAATTCTTCTAAATGAGCAGGAACATTCCCACAATATCATTTTTTTTCTAGTGAAAAATATACTTTTGTGCTCAAGTCTGAACTTGTTTTGACCAGCCCTCTCAGGATACGCAGCTCTCATGCATCAAGCTAATATTAAAGCTTTTTTTTTAAAGGAAACTTTTTACATCTTCCTTGCCTAAATCTGTGCAGCTTAAGCACATATGCTTGTAGATAGTCACAGCAGTGCATGTTTACACTTAAAATTATTTCCATAGTTGTGGTAACAGTATTGCATATATAATTACTACAATGCATTATAACTCATAACAATTAATAACACACGAGAGGAAACTCAAATAAAAAAGACAGCTAGGAAAATTTGGCCAGAGGTTTGTAAAGTGGCAAATTACACAGTATCACACTGGATATAAGCTATAATAATAAAAGTAGTAGAAGTAATGTCAACCTTGATTTTTGATCAGGTAATCATGCAATTCTGCATCTAAAATAAAAGCAAAACAAATTGGCATTCCGTGGAAAATCTACTGATCTGAACTTTCAGACATGATGAGTACTAGCAGCTCCCAGCAAAGTTCATTAGCACTGGGCTCTCCCATTCTCTCAGAGCAAGTATACAGTTAACCTAAATTACAGTCAGTTAAAATTTGCCTTGTTCATCAAATAGCTTTCAATGGATGGTAAGATAAATATTTATTACAACTTCCTTCCAGTTTTCTGGCTCTGGGAAAGGCCTCCAAAAGGGGGCCTCTAAAAAAAAAGAAAAAAGCAACTGAAAACAAAATCCCAGCATGTAAATGTCCGAACCACGGAACAAAAGCAGACCAAGAGAGATGCAGCACAGCAGTCACAAAAACACACCACCACACACATGCACTGTACCAGGATCTCTCATACTTGTTGCAGAAGAAGGAGTACTGCAACTCAGCAACCAGTCTGCAGTATTTAAAACGGTCATGTTGTCTCCTGAGAACAGCAACAGTATAATGGTTCATTGTCTGAACGTCTGTTCAGTGTGCGGGAATATTCTCCAATGCAAGTAAGTGTTTTTGCACTTCAAGCCAAGTCTTTTAACTGCGCTGTATTGTTTTTATGAGTATTATTTCAATTGGTTTATTTATGAAAGTATAATACAGAGGCATATAGTTATTAGTGTTCTTTAAAGATAGGCTTGCAGGTTTCCCCTCTCTTTATGCTAGAACAAGCATTTTATATAAAAATATAAATAGGTCGAGCGGTGCAGCCTTTCTCGGTAGGACTCTGTCCTCTCCATATACGCAGGCACTTTTGATTGACATTGACAGATTCTTTGTTTTTTTTTTAGGCAAGGTTAAGTGAATAAAATGCTTTATATTGTGGTCAGAAAGAAAAAGCTATGAAGATTTTGGTGCCAAGTATTAAAATAGACTATAGCATATAAACTCCAAAAAAGAGATCTGAGAGTCTAGCTTAACTTGTTATCAGTGGTGAGACTCTCGCTGATACCAGCAGGGCTGAGGGTCCATCTCAGAACATTACACCCTTCCTCCCACTGCTTCATTTGGCAAAAACCATTATCTGCATAAGAGATACTGAAATATCTGTGTTTTAGCTGAACAGTAGTGGTGTCCCTACAGGAATGGGGCATTAATAATCAGCAAGCTTTACAAAAACTTTAAAACCATTTTATGAAAAACTTTATTATCTTCAAAGAAACAGAATTAATGTCTTAACCGTGCAAGGAAATTATCTCAACCTGCGCTAGTTACCAGTTCTGACACACTACTTTTGGCATAGATTTTAAATTAACCAAAAGAGGTGTATCTATCTCCAAGGGGTGTTCAGTGTATAATTGTAAATGATTACTCAGCAATCAAGTAGAAAGCAGCAAAGGCAATCTATTCCAAGATACCCACAAAGATAACCAAGTCTAAACTTCCTCAAGGGAATCATTCCAAATTTTTTATTGGTTTCACTTTTGAATATTTCTGCCTCTCAATTCAACTGGTGCAAACTGGAGAACTGGTGTTGGGAGCTAGCATATTTACAATGGTATAAAATTTACATTAACTGAGTAAAACTTCAGGCTAAATGTCTTTATTTTTGTTTGTGCTGCAAACTGAAGTGCAAATTTAAAAATGAAACTGAAATGGTAATTTAAAAAATATATTTAACTGAAATCTAGCTAAAACCTTCTGTGCACCAGAGATATCTTATACTTACCTCCAGTTCCATTTGTTGTAACTGATGTACTGCTGAGATTGGATTTATCCAGTTTGGAACTACCCGGTGCATCACTACTTCCAACAAGATTATGAGGACTTGCTAGATCTTGCATTTCCATAGACCTGTTAGAGAAGAAAGCAGTAGTATTTAAATGTATTGTCACGATATTTAAAGTAGTATTTTTAGACATGGACATTTGTAAGGTAGCTAGATTTACAAATCAGCACAGGGTCTACTGTGGTTTTCATTGCTCTGTAACAAATATATATATGCATACATGTATGTGTATAAGTTTTAGGAGTAAATGGATAAACTAAGAGAAAGTCAGTCATTACACAGCAGTACAGAAAAACTTCTGACTGACATTATTTGTATGCCAGTCCCCAACTGTCACTAAATTCACACTAAATTGTAGTAACAGAGCTTGCACATAAAAGAACAAAGCCGTCATGTGCATCCAGAAGCTTCTTTAAGCTCACAAATACATGCATTCTTACTAACTTGCTGTTTTTTCTTCCAAGTCTAGGCAACTTGCAAAATTCCCCAAAGGCAAGAAACAGAGTGGATAGAGATCACCGTGGATTTCAGTGACACAACAACAGTGAGGGACTGCAGATGGATTTCAACTGGGGACAACAGACTTGCCTTCCTCAGACACAGCAAACAACACACACAAGAAGTATTAATTGTTACACTGGCATCAAACCCATTTTCAGTGTGTGCTCCCCTTTTCCTTGCTTCATTTCTAAATTATTTACATTTTTTTCCCAAAGAAACACACGATAGGCTATGCCTAAGCAAATCTCCAAGCCCATCTACAATAGAATTATTTACCACATGTATGGTACAAAGGGCAATATTGGCTTATAGACTTGTAAAAATCTAGTATCATTCCACAAGACTGAAATGACTAGGAAAGAGATGAACAGTTGCCATAGGTCAGTAGGTGTTCTGCAGTGGCCAAGCTCAAAGGTAACATCCATCATCTTAGGTACTCATTGAAAGTTTCCCTTTGAACTGTCTATCTATGCATTGCACAGATTGGCCTGAGGGAAAAAAATATATATTTTCATCAGATATGTGTCTGCCATCTGAATCCGTTTTTCGCTCCAAGAAAACAAAGGAGAAAGAGTTTTGCGCTCCTGATACATCTACTAGTTCCATTAGGTTGCCTCTTGTTACACTCATGTACCCCAGGACACAGACCGAGAGCTTTCATGTCTTGAATATGTTATGGTTTAGGAAACATTGCATTAAAACTGGGAAAATGAAGCCCATTTTCTCCAGTAAAACCTTGGATCAAGTCTGAGACCCAGCAGTAATTTTTTGGCTGAGCAGTCTTCCCCAAAACAGTTTGGTTTATTAGTGTGAAGCTTATTTTGTTTTACAAAGGTCATACACCAGTAGGTAAGAATTTTATAGCAATCTTCAAGGAAAAGCAATGGCACAAACTGAGATTTGAACTGCCTTAACACAGATTTCATCATCTTATTGAGTATACATTTCCTCACATCTGTCAGCAACGCATTCGATTTCTTGTCTACTGGAAATGCGAGCAGTGTTGGATGAAACTAAATGAACTCAGGTGGTTTACTGTTCTGTCAGATTTTGTTTGGTAGCTTCTATACAACAAGGATAGCAGCTAAAGGCTAAAGAAAGTCTGTGAGTTTCCATCTTGTATGTATTTAAGGGAGCAAGAGAAAGCTACACAAATAAACAAGGCATCCTTCACTGCATATACAGCTTAATAGGCTCCTTGTGCTCACTTAGTAGTTGAAGTGTCATGATTTCCTGTTCAAGTATGATCAGAGATGCCTAATGGACAGCTCTAACTCAAGAAGTTTATACATGCTGCTTTTTTCTTGTTTAACAGGAAAACTGCAATAATTTCTCTCTAGACAGCTATATATCACAGCTGAAAGATACACGTACATCAGCAACATTTCATAAGCAAAATCATTAACTTATCTAGCTACTAGCAAATATAAACTATTTGTCTCAAGTAAGTTTCATGCTCAAATGAATTAGATTTTTTTAAGCAGAAAACTAAGTTCACTGATTTTTCTTTTTCAAATAAGTAAATATTTGAATATAAGCAGATCTGACATGGTAAAAGAAAGTTACTGTTTCATACCAATATGGCACCATTTGTACAGTGAAGCAGCAAAGTATACCACCTTACATTTGTTTCCTATGCTCAGCATCCAGCAAAAGGCATAAACATGGCACCTAAGTATGACTGTAATGCAAGTGAGTCCACCAATCAGTGCTATCTTAAAAACAGCACATTTACAGATAGAAATTTTAGCTGGATGTATAAAAGATACTTTGCACTTTAGGGTGGGCAATTATGGATAAAAAGAACATCCAACAGGATAAAACATTTCACAAAACCACTTGTATATATTTACACTTACCCTAGGTGCTCTACCCTCTGTGAACAAGTAATGGGATTATTTTTATATATCCTTTTGTGTCATATTTATTCAAGTGCACATGTTACCTTCTGTGTAACAGATTTCAATTCACCTTTCTGGCTACTTTTAGTTTATTTTTAGCCTAAAATTTCTCAGAAAGACGTAATGGACCTACCACAAATCTGACAATATCACTACATAAAGGATTCAGGAAAAACATTTAATAAAATGGATGAAATAATTCCAACATCTTGAATTCATTTTTTTCAAACTAAATGTTTATCAGACCCTTGCTTTCACTGTCTTAATCAGAAGCAGGTTGGGTTCAGTATGTGTTTTCCTGCAATAACCGAGAAAAAAACAGAGAGAGTGATCTCTGAAGGACCAATTAATACTTCTAAGTGCATGTGGTTACTTATTAAAGACTGTTTTCTAGTATATGCGGTGTGTTTCAATTTAGACAGATTAATGTCCGTTGTTAAAGCCGTTTGAACAACTACATCATACAAGTTTATTTTCCATTTGTTACTGCTCTGCCATACATCTGACTGAGCTACAGTTTCCCCAGTCTTGCTTTATCTCGGACCACTTTTTAGAGTAATTTAACAAAATGTATGTTGAGGTTTATCAGAATGTTTTTTTTCTGAAGAAATGGGTTGTTTTGCAAGAAATTCTTTTACATTTCTCTTGACTGCTTACATGAAGAGTGTTAGTATGAGTCTAAGCTTTTGAGCAAAAACCAGAAATATGGACAATGTAATTATCTTTTACTCTGCTTGGCTAAGCTTCAGGTGTTTGAAAACTGGCATTTCCACGTGCTTAGAGGATTATTTTAGAGGCTTCCTCGAAAGGTCTCTAAAACTTCCTATTTTCACAAAACATCCCTCCCAGATCCCAGGCCTCAGCTGTAGCCTCAACAAATCACAGCAGTGCTGTGATCTTGGGGCGTCCATGTTAGGTCATGTTTTGTTCCCTGGCTTGAAGTGATGTCTGTTCAAGTGGTAACTTAGGTTTGGAAACAGCATCCAAACTATCTGTCTTTACAGTGCTGGCAAATGGACAGAACTTGTGACGTATCTTGGACTACTGAAGCATGTAGCCCAGCATCATAATCTAAACCTTCCTGTGTAAATCTACAGTAAAAGTGCATCGAAAGAAGGACTGGTAGGCAGTTATTTAAAATTTAATCTTTCCATGAAGTTTCTAAATTAGTCTAAAAAATCTTTTTAAGAAAATTATATAGATTTTTTTTTTACTAGACTTTACTAGGGCAAATACACATTGTCTATCTTTTCTCCTAGCTTTCCCTGTTTCTCAACCTTATTCTTACCGGTCCCATTTATCATGCCTACATCTACAGGAACAGTATATAATGTAATTAAAAATAAGCTACACTAATCTTTTAACTGAGCATTAATAAAGAAGGCGGAAAGATATGCATTCTGGATATGTTTTTCGAGAAGTACATACATAAATGAAAATATGTGTATGTTAACAAACAACTACATGCATATTTATATAGATTTTCTGGTGCTAAACATACGAACATACACAAATCTATATATGAATGCACAATAAAAAAACTTTCCAAGGTCTTTTAATCAAGGACTCGCAAATAGTGTAGCACAACACATGGCCTAAGAAGAATCCTCAAACATGTAACATTTTGAATTATTATACTAGTCCAAACACACAAGTTAATAATCTTTGCTTTTCCAGGCGCTTTTACTCTGTGTATGACAGCCTTTGACATTTTATACACTGTAAAAGATAATAAAAAAACAGCAAAACTGAAGAGGTAAATTTTCTCCTTTGACATGATTCCCAAGCTCATCAACTCCTGCTTTGCATTTCCTCAAGCTTACCAGCTGGCCACAATATCAGCTCTTTTCCTTTACCAGGTACCATCTTGCAAAAGCAAGCCCCAACATTATGCAAGTTCTGGGAGCCTGCCAGAGAGTTGGCAACAAATAATACTGCTGGACACTACCAAGACCTCCTCTATACCCTCCTTCAGCCCTCATGCCTTAACTTGTAAAGTGATCTGATACAGCCCTAAGAAGCAGTAAAAGATGTCATGTTGTATGGATACAATGAGCAAATGCCCTTCAGAGTTTTATTTTATTACTTAAAAAAAAGAAAATAAAATCTCAAATTTTTGCTACCATTTGGGAATGGAAGGTGGCTTCTAATGCGTAATTTCTTCCTTTCATGGCTTGGTAATTAGGATGTCAGTTTTCATGTTAAAAAATGGGAAAAATAAAGAAAACATACCATATTGATCTTCTCAAAATACTTTATCTCTGTCAGATTACAATTTATGTCAGATAAAGGCTATCACAGGGAGGAAACCTTAGTGAAATGAAGAAGGGAAACATAAGTTTTCTACTGTATTAATAAATACCCCAGAGTTAATAAATAATATAAATCCCAGGAGTTTCAGCTTAGCAGAACTGTAACCGTAGAGTAAGAGCTGCACTTACAGCCCTTATGAATATGGATGACTCGTTACAAACTTGCATCTCACGGTGAGAATTCCCAGTGCTGGAGTTCACGAGTTCAAGCTCACAAAGAAATAAGCTCTCCCCAGGGACTGCAATAGCAGCACTGTGCGCTGGGCAGAGGAGCCTTGAGGAGCAGGGAGGGAATAACTTGAGGAAAGCCCAGACTGCCCATTTTGGGTTTACAGCTCTTCAGATTTCTTT